GCATGGATTTGATCATCTATTCATTTTGTTCACCACCTCTGACAGCTATGAACAAGGAGAAAGACGATAAATGTCACACACTCACCGGCAGCAACATGCGGTGTCCACCGGCCGACCTGCTCCGACAAACAGGCCTCTAGGTCTCTGACAGACACGGCCTAAAACAAGCTTTTCATCCAATTGCTACAGTGATGTCATCAGCACTTTTCTGAAAAGTTTCAATATTTTCAACACTGAGCGGCCGCACAAAAACGTCTTGGCGCTCCGAAAAAAGACGCTGGGTGCTGCACCTTCTCTGGAGTCGGCTACCTTCAACGGCATGCGCTTGTTCCTCATTGGAATCAATTGAAAAAGACGCCGCCTCTCAGAAAAAGGCGCTATATGGACTCATGAAATGTGGCGGGGATATAAACCGATATGTAAAATGTAGATAGAAACAGACCTTCGCCTCACCATGCCTGCTTGGACACTCTCAGCTCGACCACCATTATTAGGACTTGTTGTCCTTTCAGCCTGAGCTTAATAGCCTGCCGCTTTTTTCCTTTTCCCCATCTTTCTATCGCTCTCCTCTCCCTCTCCCCCCTCTCTCTCTCCCTTATTGTCTCTGGCAGCTTTGTGACTCTAGCGTCTGGCTGCAGTTGCAGGAGCAGCAGTCACATACCTGCATTCAAGTGGAACAAACAGGATGGTTGGCTGCTCACGGAAGGTCATCAGCCCTGGGCACAGCACGTGTGTGTGTGCACGCGGGCGTCCGTGCGTGTATCCGTGTATTTTCTCTACTTCAAAAAGAGATGAAGCTTTATAGTGTTCCTGAAGCAAAACGGTGTGAAACAAATAACCAATAGATGATCTTCCAAGTGTATTTTTACTGTGACAAATTCTCCTTATGTGTGAGGGATAGCTTGTGCTATTGTAAACTACTTTCAATATGTATTTATTTCTGAGTGTTGGACCCATGTGACTTACGGTACGTCCACACAGCGGCTTTGGAAAAAGCTTGCCGGCGGGCGTGTCTGAAGCTCGACCAACAACCAATCACATGAATCTTCCGCCCCTGACACACAAGCAGCGGTTTGATTGGCTGTAGCTTGTACTGGCATATGATTTGATTGGCTGACGCTTCCACCGAAAGCTTCAGAAGTTTCAAAAGTTGAACATTGCTCAACTTTTGCAGCCTGAAACGCCAGGAAAGCTCCGCTCTGCTACCCACAATTCAGTTCGGCGAAAAGCGAGGCAACGTGACGTCACCCCATTCAAAGTGAATGGGCAGAAGCGTGGAAGACTTTTTTGAAACGGCCGAGCTGAGGACGTACCGCCCCGTCCACACTACAGCTTCGACAGCTTCAAAAACGGTTTCCAACGCGTCTGCCCATTCACTTTGAAGGGGGTGACGTCACGTTGCCTTGCTTTTCGCCGAACTGAATTGTGGGTAGCAGAGCGGAGCTTTCCTGGCGTTTCAGGCTGCAAAAGTTGAGCAATGTTCAACTTTTGAAGCTTCTGAAGCTTTCGGTGGAAGCGTCAGCCAATCAAATCATATGCCAGTACAAGCTCTAGCCAATCAAACCGCTGCTTGTGTATCAGGGGCGGGAGATTCATGTGATTGGTTGTTGGTCGAGCTTCAGACACGCCCGCCGGCAAGCTTTTTTTTAAGCTGTAGTGTGGACGGGCCGTTAGGGTGACCACGGCTTGTGTTCTTATACATTTCATGGTAACATTTTCAGCTCCAGTGTAGACAACTTCTGTGTTTGCTTCTCATAGCGTGACTATACTAGAGCCCTGTTTTTTATGCTTCTGTTATAAGCATGATAGAATAGAAGCACGAAAAGTATCAATTTTGTCAATATTATCAATCCTTTCTCTGGTTTCACTTGCATGTAAACACTACCCAAACCAGAAAGAGGCCTTAAGCCTCGGCTCTGTTAGCGTGCTGCTCATGTTAAGCCTACCATGTAGACAAAGCGTTAACCCTAATTCACACGTGAAGCTACAAAGGGAGTAGATGGAGCAGCAGGATTACATTTTCACTGGAAACCCTCAAGTATCTAGCAGTGCACTGTTTGGCAACTCAAACAACAATAGATCCTTTGTTGGTTGCAACAGAGAACACATACACAGCACGTTGAACTGCCCATCTGCAGAGTCAGAGCTGAAAATAGAAAACAATAAAAAGACTCCAACCATAAAACATTCCAGATTCGGGGGCAAGGGATCGCCTGCCTCTTCATATTGTTGATTCTGTCTGCCTCTGTTGGTCCTATCATTCATGTTGTATGCAGTTGTGCAACTCTAAATGTCAATTTAGCAGTCTAGTGCTCCATAGAGATCTTTCCAACAGGGAGGCAAATGTGTTTTCCATCGTTTTATTTGTACCTGTCACTGTGACATTCACACTCAACACAGAGTCAGAGGTCAACAGGAAGCCCTGTGGCTGTGCTTGTTATGGAATCCCACCCTAAGCCCACCCACTTGCTACCACCCTCAAGGTGCCTCAGTGATGGCCACCTGTCTAATAAAACGTGACACTCTAATCTTTGTCTTCCATAATTAGTGCCGCACGTTTGATTAAAAGCCATGTCAGCTCCATTGCAGAGTGGGAAGCGTGATTATAGTCCAGCATTTGTGTCTGTGCATATAATGTGTGCACACGGCTGTATGTAATGGTGCTAATAATGCACATGCAGGTCTAATGCCATACAGACAAAAAATCCTGGTTGATCTCGGGATTTACGAAGCGTGGCTGCGTTTTCGCTCTTCATTAACCTTGCTCGCCCTCAATCCCCGGAATTTCCACCTGTTTGTTTCGGTCCTTCTAGACCTCCTTCCATTTTTTCTTCTTTTTTTTTTTACAGCATTTGTGCGATGAATAATTGAATGGGTAATTGGTTAATGTGACCCTGTCTTTTGTTGGGGGGGGTTGTCGGGGCAGCAGCCACTTGTTTCATGGTAACAGTTGCACGCATTTCTTTTATGATTATTAATCTTATTTTATTTCCCCTTCTCATTCACCAATTTATTTTGCGAGCACAGACACACGCAGTTCCCTCCTGTAAGACTCATCACCACATCAATGAGGTAAAAGGATAATCATAGCATGCTGAAGAGCCAGAATATTAGCAGCCTCGGGTGTGATTAACTAAGCCTTTACACTAGCATAGCTATGCAGATGAGCTAAGGCAAGAGTGAAAAAATGACAACATTAAAACTAGCTAATCTAATTAGCTCTATGATATCATGCCGTTAAATAATTACCCAGAACCTAATTGGGTAATATCACTGCCTTATTAAAATAAAAAAAAAACCTGCCTGCCTGTTTCCACCCTCTCTTTCTCTAACCTTTGAAAGTAAACACGTCCCAAATAGCCTGCAGAAATCACAAGAGAAAACACGCTGAGCCGTTGGAGCACTGTGAAGCTCGGTTGCACTTTTTGACTTTTGAGTTCCCCGCCCCTCTTCACTCCCCGTCTCCCCCCGTACACCGCCCTCACTCCCCGACCCCTACCCCTTCGTTTCATCTGCAGGGAGTTGATTGGATCGCTTTCATCCTGACCATCCTGTGTCGGGACACGTGCTTTAATACATTTACTGTACTTGAAGCTGTATACAAACACCTTATATACAGTCTTGACAACCACCTACTCTTTCTGCCGCATCCCTTGCTCTCTGTAAACACACACACACACACACACACACACACACACACACACACACACACACACACACACACACACACACACACACACACACACACACATCCATGCAGTTTGATATGTGGCCCAAGGCAAAGCACTTCTCCCTAATGAGCCTCTTGCCCTCTGTTTCTCCTGGGGAGCTGAAAGAGAAGTAACCTTGATGCAGAATAGAAAGGATTCAGCCTGCTTACACACACATACACACATTGCTATGTGTGTGAGGAACCTCATTGCCTGCATTATTTCCCTAACCTGTTATATCATCAACAACTCTACAGCACATGTCTGACCTCAACCTGCATCGTTACCTGATTCTAACAATAACGTTTAACCCTAGCCAAAATATCCTCACATTACACAATTGCCGAGGTCTAAAACTTAACACACGGAATTGGTTGTCCAAAGTATCACACGCGTCCTGTTTGGCCAAACAACACAAACACCCATATCCACCCACCTTGTATTATTGGGAATCATTGAGACAAATGTTCTGTTATATTTTCTATCTTCAAGATTGTTTTGTTTGTCACTTGTTAACAGAAATATAGTCTCCATTATGAGCAAAACCTTGTTTCTTACAATTTAATTTTAAACATTAACTCTAAGTTAGGGTTAGGGTTAGGGTTAAGTAAGAATTGTTTTTATGTATTTTACCCGAAACTACAGACTATTCTCTTGAGTAATCACTAATCATGTCTTGAAAACTGAAACTCATTTGGCAACTTTTACCGTGAGGATTATCCAGTTTCTAATCATTTTCAGACTCGTTTATGAAAACCATGGTTACTTTCAAATCATCGGCGAGGCATGTTGAATCAGTCGATTGGTCTATTACCACTTCTATGATTACCCTTACCATCTAGACAAAAGGAGCTCCACAATGATGTGCTTTGAATTGAAACATATTTTTTGCATAACCGTGGCTCAGAAAGCTGGGTAGAAATGATACATTGTACTATATACTGGTAGCATCGTGGGTTAGGGTTTGGCCCAACACAATGAGTAATACATGTTGATTTGAAAATAAGTAATTCCTATATATCTATCTCTTTCATTATAATGATTCTTTCACAAATATTTGACCCAATTACAGTGAAAATGTATGCATTTCTCTGCCTCACTCAAAAAATATTTCAAAAATATTAAGTAACTGGACAAATGTAACATTAAACCATTGTTAGTTTGACTCAAATTCTCAATCTATTATCTCTTTCTCAAATGATATAAAGAGTACTCCAAACTGCTTAAGCAGAAGTCTGGTATGTATGCCTTCACTGACCACTCTGTGTTCCTTGTGTGTGTGTTCTCCAGATCTGGGCCAATTATGAGGAGAAACCAGTGGAGGAGGTTGTGTATGTAACAGAAGAAAAAGAACGAGTGGCCAACTACAGACCAGTATTTGTCACGGAAATCTGCGACACCCTGCACTTCTACACCCAGGACGTAGAGACAGGTATGTCAGCATTGTGTTTTGTGTGCTTGAAAAATGTGTGAGTAATAGACTTAAATAATATATATATTTCTTTAATGTACAAAATCAACTCCAAAACACCGCTATTTATAAGTCAATTAGTACATATTTTCATTGCTGTTGAAACATTTTGTAGGACTCAGTGACTATTTCATCATCCTCTTCACCAAATACCAACATTTCTCAGGTCCAAACAAGGACTCCCTTTTAAACAGCACACTGACTTTATGAATGACAATTATCTCTACCACTCTGACATTCCCCCTCACCCCCCGCAGCCCCCCCTCCCACTAGCGAAGACAAATCAAAGGACGTCCTCCTTATTATTACTACTGAATGACAGGAATACATCACACCATCCCTTCCTGTCAGAAGTGACAGGGGGAGGAAAGGAGAGAACAGTTTGGAGATGGGAAAACTAACAATCCCTAGTATTCCTGCATGGCTGCTCCCTCTGACAAGCTGTGTGTGTGTGTGTGTGTGTGTGTGTGTGTGTGTGTGTGTGTGTGTGTGTGTGTGTGTGTGTGTGTGTGTGTGTGTGTGTGTGTGTGTCCTTAATGCGTCCCACATTCTGTTTTGTTCTGGGTAACGGTCCATCTTTTTAGGTAGTATACTATCAAAGACCTGAAAGTCTATACTTTCAGGTCCACATCATGTGGAAGTAGAATTATTTTGTATAGAAACTTGGCAAGCGTCATCTACTGAATCATTAGAATTTGAACCAACCTGCGTTTGTTGCATTTGATTTTGTGACCTAATCAGTGTAACAATTACACCAAAACCTGCACTCACAAACTAGCTGGAACAGTTGTGAAGCCTCCATGCCAATCACTGCCCCTTCATCGTGTGCCAGCCTGTGTGTGGGGGGGCACAGGATGCTGAAGTCTTCCTCTCTCAGCCGCCCCGCACATCTGGCCCCACTGCCTTTCGGAGGCCATGACATCGACTTTGGCCACCTCTTAATTTGCCTCACTGCCATAATTAATTAATTTGCCTTCATTTACGCCAATCTGAGCCCAAGCATCACTCACACCATAATAATCCAATCACAAATGAGTGTGGAAAGCATTTGGCCGCCTCAATTGTTCCTTTGAAAGCCCCTCTACCTCTTTTCCTCCTGGGGTTAATAAGAGTGCAAAAACAATCTGTTACTCATCTCCCCGCCTTGATCTGAAGCCTTTACATTCCCTCTGGCTACTTCAGCTTCCTTCCCCTGCAGGTCAGACGAGATACTGAGGTTATGTGTGACGTTTTATCCCTGATCAGAATCACGTGTAACTGGCAGGAGGCTGAAATGTACAGCACATGTAGACCTGAGGCCTTCAGCATCACTCACTGTCAGCTGGGAAAATGTAAAGGCAAGATGCATTGTGGAATTTATAATCTAATGGAGTTGGAGTTTGGGGGCTTGTAAGTACTTGAGCTTCACATGAAAGAGCAAGTCAACATGTTTTTATAGATTCAAAGCTTATATCCCATATATTCTTTAGGGTCTGTAAGGGAAGCAACCGAAGTGTTGCATTTAACAAAATGTACACAAACTGCATTTTTTATATTGCTGCTCTCAGTGTGTTTTGACAGGAGAGCTGTGAGATGTTTAATATTTCTCATATAAAGGTGTGTTTTTAGATGATCCAGCAATGCTGCAGCCTTTTTGTTTATTTATTTTCTCCCTTTAATTGCCCCGTGTTCCTCCACCAAGAAGCTTACGTGCTAGTTTAAAAAAAAAAAAAGTGTTATTCTCAGCAGGGAGGCAAAACCTGACCAGTCCTCACCCTTTCCTCCCTCTCCTCATCTCTCTACATCACACTGTTTGCCCCTCCCCGCCTTCCTCCATCTCCTTTTCTCCCTTGGTCTCTTTCATTTTCGCTGACGCTCCCTCAAAGCTACATTAAGTCATACCAACCCCTTGAAGAGCACATCAAAGTGTTAGGGCCTGTAAAATCATACAAGCTGAGTGCTTTGCAATATCATTACATGTTCCACTCCCCCCCCTCTCTCTTCGCTTTCCCTCAATTTCTCAAGTGAAGGAATGTGTATATATAAACTCAGATAAGCTTCCAAGCAGAGTCTGAGTTTCATAAATATGCTTGTGATTGTGACTGATGGCAACAACACTTTGCATAAACGAAAAAGCAGGATCATTTGTGCCAAAGTTCACTTCTGTATGTTATGACCTCATCCCATGGGTTTCCTGCACTTTGGCCAGAGCATTAAAGCAATGAGGCCTGTCACTGACTTGATGCAGAACACTAATAAAAGCTGACACTTCACTAAAATGACAGACAGCTAGTAATGCATGCAATACTGTAAACATCCCTGCGTTTTATCATAATACAATAGCACTTAATGCCCTCTGTGACACTCTGAATTCAAATACTTCTCTTGATTGTTTACAAAACCTACCCATTTTCTGCTCTGCAGTTACAAATTCACCGGCTCAGAGTCAAATTTCCGAGTGTTTTTTGGCACTGCTACCGGCACTCCATTTGCCAGATGGAGCAAACACTTTCATTGAGTACTCCTTGACCATCCTTGAGGTATAGCACACTTGTGACATAGAGTGCCAGCTAACTGTCTCTCCCCCGGTCTCGCCTGATGTTCAGTTTGGAAGCCGGGGATGAGCCTCACTGAATAAAAAATGGAGAAAATAAAACGGCGGTGCCACTTATGGTCAATGCAAGACCATTTACTTAACTTCAATAATCACAGATTTTATTGTGGGTGTAAAAACCAATCATGAAAGGTAGCTGTATTTATAGAAGCAGAAATGATTAAAGATGCAGCTGGGACTGGCAGAGAAAGACCTTTTTCTGTGTGGCGTTAAGCTTCCATTTGTTTCCAACCGTATCTTCAATAAGATAAGATGAACTTTATTGATTCGAAGTAGGAAAATGAAAGTGTCACAGCAGTGAGATGAGAAGAAAGAGCCGTGAAATGTTCCAGGTAGCAAGATAATTCTGACAATAAGGAGCAGGAGCTGTGAACCAGGGTTTCACAGTGATTCAAAGTCAATTCAAATAAATTAACATTCTACAGAAGACAACAAAGTCAAATAAAGAATGATATCCATAGGAACATATACACTTTGAGGCAGATGGCAGCACGATATAGTCGCCACTAGGGCCAGATAGCAGTTTAATAGCTGTACAGTAAGTGGTCAGTGCATCTGTTTCATAGCAATAAAGAAAACACAGGAAAAAACATTATAAAAACCATAGGATAACCACCATCAATATTCAAATGCTATTACTAACCATTAATCCTATGGGAGTCTGGAGTCCAGGATTTATTTGTATTTTTATTGTGGTCTCACTGAGGGCAGTGGTGAATGGAGTGTACACAGCTGTTGTTGCACTTAAACGAACATAGGCCCATGAAATCATCCTACGCTGTTAGCTACTAAGTGGTTCTTTTGTGGAGGAAGCGTGGTATGTAATATATTTATATTCTCCGGGGGTCCTTAGCGCTCTGTGTTTTACCACTTTTCCCATTTTAATTATTCACATTTAATTACTCTTAAGTGCTGCTTTTTTTCATGTATGGATATCTTTACACAGGCCCGATAAGTGGATTAATTCACGTTAGGAATGGTTTTTCCCCCAGTCACTAAGAAGCTTGAGGGATTGTGCTGTTAAATCCTCCGTTTATTTTAAGGTTCTTTATCTGTCCCTGTATGCGGTTATCTCTCATTGTCTCACTTTCCTCCCCGCTCACATTGTCTCTTCCTGGTTCTGCTTTCTCACTTTTCTCTCCCAATTTCCCTTTTTCTGTATTGCTCTGTCTCCGGAGGCTATATGCAATTACTGTCAGAGGGGGACCTGCACAGATCTATGTGACCTTGGACACTAAAAGACAGAGGCCACTCCAGGCACAGGGGGGAGCAAGTGACTATGCTGTACATTGCTGTTGCTTTGCCTCTATGCTGCAGAGTCCACATAATTAAAAAAACTTGCTAAATATAGCCCTGAAGTCTTCATGGGTGCGTAGCTGCAATCGCTGCGGCCTGATTATTGGATGCTCTGCTGCTTTTCAAGTTTTTCTAATGAAAGACATAAAGTACAGGAGTATTAGTTTCCCTAAAACCTCATAAGCTGAGCTCCAGTTAAAAAGTCTATACTGTACTAGATTTGAATGAAACTAGAAGGATACATTGGATTCTTAGTTGTCCACAGAGTGTTGTATATTCAATGTATGTAACCATGCTTATTCTTAAAAGTCATCAAGCCCATAAGTGAAATCAAAATAAGGCCTTTTTTGGTATTTAAATGTCTTAATAATCTTTTTTCAAACATGTTATGAACATGTGAAGTATGATTTTATAGCTACTTTTCTTAAAAATATTTGGCCTTATTAGTTTTTATAATAATTTGCCAAATAGATATTGCATGCACATCACGCAGTTACGGAAAGTGGAAAAAAGTTCATTTCGAGTGGCATTTCAAAAGTCTTAAATCTAACCTTAGGAACACTGGGGTAAGCTACAAACCTCAGACATTTCAGATGTAATAATGGCCTCCAGACTGCATCGCTGGACACCACTGCAGGCTCTTCTTTGCCGAGCTAGCAGCCTCTTCCTGTTTTGGACCTCTCTCAGTCGTCACCTCCGCACGGGCATCGGCCGACAAACGCACGTCTTCTGCCCACCTCGAGCCTCAGCTGTGGCGCAGTTGGCGGTACATCCTGTCTGGTGCTTGTTTCCTGGCACTCATACAGACTCATAATGAGTAGAGTCGTTCCCCCCAACCAGGTGCCACTCCGTCCACATTATTCACACTTCTACCTTTTACACACAGCAGCTGTTCATCACCTAATGATGCTGGACCTAGCTACTGATGGAGCAAGGCAGGCAGGGAGCTGTTCTCTCTCTGGCTGCACTTCAATCCTGGCCCCTTTCTGTCTTTGGGGATTGAATTCCATGACTTTGAAATGTACAGTATGTCTTCAAGTGCTTGTTTTCTTTTTGCCAATTGAGGAATTCA